CAGGGCGAGGTATGGGTTCCTATCTCTGGCCTTCCTTGGGCGTGGCTCTGTGGACCCTCTGCCTGCAGGGCCCACCTGCCTGGGACTGGGACTCACCGTGTGGCTGGCGGCTCCAGGGGCCGGTGGATGCCTGGGACAGTGCCACGCTGGGCGGAGTTCCTCAGGTCCTCGTCAGGGAGGCGTGGCTCCTGGCTGCTCCCCGCTTTATGTAGGCTCTGGGTGTCCTGCCCCCCCGCCCGGCTGGCTGATTGCGGCACATTCCTAACCCTGAGATCCCTTTGGGGACATCGGTGGTGACGGAGGGGGCAGCGCTGGCTGCACAATGAGGACCCAACACAAACAGGATGTGTTCTGATGAGAGGGCGGACGCTGCCCTTTGGAGGAGCGTGGCGGCATCATTAGCCACGAACCGTGGGCACGAGCGCCTGGGTCCCTGGGCAGAGCACGGAGGCCATTAGAGCCCTTCCCTTGGTCGGGCTGGCCTCGCTCGCCAGAGGACGTGGGATGGGTGGACATCCACGTCCTGCCCAGCCTGGCTGCCCCGGCAGGACGGCTCCCTCAGCGGGGGTCACAGATGCACTTCGCCCGCTCCCGGAGAGGCCGTGAGCCTGTTAGCAGACATAGCTGCATGGTGGGCCTGTCCCTTAGATGGCGTGCTCTGTCCCAGCCCAGGCCTGACACCCAAGGGGCTGTGGGCACCGCACCCTTCGACTCCTCTGAGAGAGACCACACCGCCCTTGGGCTGCAGTGATGGGTCTCAAGGCCAGGCCATTAGCTAGTGTGGACTGGGCAAGGGGCATGGTCAGCACCTCCTGCTCCTGCCCACCCGCGTCCATAGTGGGAGCACAGAGCGGGGATGCCGGGACTTTGTTGGAGATGGGAACACAATGCCGGGTGCACAGGGCCTGGCTGGCAACGGCTCCACCCCTGCTTTCCCTGGGCCCAGCCCTGCCAGCCTCGTGTGACCAGTCAGGCTCCCTGTCCAGTGCGTGGGGCTCTGGGAAGAGGCCAGAAGAAGTCCCATCTGTCCACTGCAGGTTTGGGGTGTGGGCACCGTCGGTGTGGGGAAGCCCGGCCCCCCCCATGGCCACACTCTGCCCCTGCTCAGAGGTGCTGGAGCCAGGTCAGGTGTTGGATTTGGGGACAAGCGTCCCACTGGTGGGACCCGGCCTGTGCCCAGAACACAGGGCCCAGAGAGGCTGCTTTCCGATGCTCTTCCGGCCTCCGGGCTCCAACGGCTCTGAGGCTGCCAGGGTGACAGCAGCTGGGCCGCTGTGAAGGGCCCACCAACCGGAGGCAAATGGGCAGGGGCCAGCGTCCCCTCACTTCCGGGGGAGCTACCCTGCGGTGTCCACGTGGACTCTGGCTGCAAGGCCCTGACCCACGGCCTGCCCCGCTGAGCCATGCGAGCCCCCGCCAGCCAGCTGCTGCCCGGGACATTCCTGTGCCTTCTCAGCCTCAGTTTCTCCAACAGCAGCGCCCACACCATGGAGAAGCATTTCCTCTCCATGGCTGTTGGGGGCCGGGGGCGGGGAGAGCCGAGCTCTTCCCCCTAGGTGTTCCCAGGCCCTGCACTCAGGGAGCCTCTTGCGCTGGACCCAGGACCTTGTCAGCTCTGAGAACTCCGTGGGGTTTGTGGAATCCGGCAGCCACCAAGGGAAGTGCCTCGGGGACAGTTTGGTCGTGGCAGGGACAGCTGGACCAGGTGTAGCCTGTGGGCATGGACTGGTGTCCCCACCCATTCCTGCTGGCCCTGTATCCCAGCCGGCAGGGCGTGTGCCAGTGAGGGAGGACTCTGGAGTGAGCCAGGTCCGAGTTCCATGAACCTGGATGTGGGGTGCGAAGACCCCTCCCCAGCCGCCTCGCGCAGCTCTTCCCCCGGCCCCCAAGTCCCCTCTAATACCAGTGCTCATAAACGAATTCTGGTAAATGAACCCAGGGCATGATTTTACCGCAAACCTCAAGTCGGTTCTATGACTAAATAGCCATTAGGAACCATTAGTTCCTAACAGTGTCTGCTACCCCAGAGCTGGAGTCCCAGCCCCGGGAGAGAGCTGCGGGGACAGTTCAGCACCCAGGGACACCAAGCGGAGGTGCAGGTGGGCAGGCCCAGGTCCCCCAAGCCCACTCCAGGGGCTGTCAGCCCTCGCCAGGGGCAGGACCCCCACCCTCCAGCTGCAGCTACCCCACCCTGGTGAGGGGCTCAAGGTCATCAGCTCCGAACCCGCACCCCAGGCCTGGGGAATGCTGTCCTGGGTATCAGACCCGCCCATGCCATGCCGAGGGGCCCTGAGCTAGGCTGGCACAGAGGCCGCGGCTGGGTCACCAGGTGACTTTATTGGAAACAGGAACGCACAGGACGTCAAGTGCACACACCCCTGGCGGTGACCATCCCACCCCATGCTCCCCTCAGCCTCAGTCCCCCAGCCCTCGGACCCCACACCACTGCCGTCACCAGACACCCCAAGGCTGCTGGGACCCCTTCACCCTTGAGCCCCAGTCCCTTCTGCAGAAAGTGGGAGAAACAGGTCCTAGGGGTGCCCCTGCCTCTTGGCTCAGAGCCCCCTCAGGTCACGGCTCCTCCAGCCGTGGCACAGGGCTGCATGGCTGCTGGCAGGCAGGCCCTGCACAGGTCCCCCTGGCCCTCCTTCCTCTGCCTGGGAACCCGAGTCCCCCGGGCTTCACGGATGCGGCTGGCAGTTCATGTTTCACCGCTTGGCTGGCTCGCTAATTCCACAGGTCTCTGCCCGAGACGAGGGAACGGGGCTCCAGCCCCAGACAAACCCTTTGTGGTTGGGGGCCGGTGCCAGGAGGAGGTGGGCACCAGAATGTCACTGCCGCCCCAGGGACAGGTGTCAGTAACCCCATTCACACGCAGCCGAGGGTCGGGGCGATGCAGTTGGAGACCAGCTCTCAGTGCTGTCCTTCGTTCTGGGAACAAGGGTCCCTGGCTGTTACGGAGCCTGCCCGTGAGAGGCTGGGTGGTTCCTGCCAAGACCTGGGGTACAGAAAGGAAGGCCCTCTGCTCGGCTCACTTTCCTCACCAAGGGAAAGGAGGAGGCTTGGAAGGTGACATCATGGGACACGGGGATGCCGCCACCCAACATCCAGTTGGGACCGGGGCCCTAATGACCATTTGGACCCCCCTGGCTGGTTGCACGTCTCAGGTCCTGGCGGTTCCGCACAGCGTCCCCTGCTTCCTGTAGTCCCTCCCTCCCCTCTCAGGTGACAGCCAGGCTGGGGGCTCCCTGAGGCCCAGGGCAGTGTGCAGGGCTCTGAAGGGGGCCCAGGAGGAAGCTGGGGGTGGGGTGACCGGGTGGTGCCCCTTCAGCCAGCGCCCAATCACCTAGTGGTGCCACCCTGCCCTTGGGCTCCTGGACAGGGGCTGGGCTGATTCGTGCTGCTAACCTGGACTCGGGCTCCTGAGCCACCCTCACCTGTTCTGCTGCGCCCTGCCCTGTCCCCGCTGGCTGTGCTCCAGCACATCTGCCAGACAGACACACCTGCGACTCAGAGCATCACAGGTGGGAGCTCATCTGATGTTGCGTCAGTGGCGGGCGCGCAGGACTGACACAGACGCTGGCTCCAGGCCGGGCCGCTGCCCCCACAGGAACAGGGTTCCACGCGGCCTCTGCAATGTGACCGGCACCCTGGCGAGCTGGTGTCCGGGTTTGTACAAGACAGAGAGGGCCCACGGGGCTTCCGTTGCAGCTGGCTTCTGTCTCACCCCCTCCTGTCTCTGGGCAGCTCCTCACCGCCACCCTGGGCACGCTGGGCCGGAAGCACCCGCAGCCCGGGCGACACACAGGTGGCCAGTGTGGGGCCTGCAGAGGGCTGCGAAGTGTCACTCGCTGAGGTCCACGGCCAAGAGGAGCACGGGGAGCAGCCAGGCCACAGGGCCAACGCGAGGCCCCTGGTCCTTCAGGAAAGGGGAGCCCACTCCCCATTTCCCTGCCTGCGGTCTGTCCTCCGACCCAGGGAGGGTCCCTGCTGCTGCTACCACCTGGCCAGGCTCCGGGCTGGCAGCCAGGCCTCCTCAAAGGTCCCCTTCTGGTCCCCATAGGCGAGAACTTGCAGAAGTAGCCCTGCGCTGGATCCTGCCGCAAACCCACAGGTGCCCAGCTCTGAGCCGGCAGCCGAGTCGCCTGGGGGCGGCGGCACGAGTGGCCGGGCACTGGGAAGTGTCCAGGCAGCCTGCGGACCGCTGCCCCAGTCGGCCCCTCTCCCC